AACAATACAACAAAATTTGACTGTATTGTCATGGTCATAACACTGTTGGCAAAATTATTTACTGTTTATCTGAAAAGGCTCACCCAAATCAATTTTTTATGATGTAAGCGAAATTCAAAATCGAAATAGTTGGATTTTTAGTAAACATCCACCCACCCTCCAACCACCGTTGTACATTTAGTGAAAGGCACACTCATTTTTCTTTTACCCCAGCCCCGTTCTTCAATACTTACCTGTGGATTAGACAAAATGTGGGAAAACTTACAAAAGTTTTCTTACTTTATCTACCCTAGGCTTGTACTGATCCCAGTGTGAGTCAGTCATCAGTTCTTGAACAAGAGCAAGCCCAATAATTGTATATTGCGTGGAAAAAATTCACAGAGGATCATTGCTTAGTGCTGCTTGTAGAACAAACTATTTCAATCGGTCTAAGATTGCTGGTAGGGGATTCCCTCAATACATGTATTGTTACTGTTGCTGCAGTTAATAAAACATGCTGAGATTTTTTTCTCGTTTTCATAGAATTTCATGTCGTTGGATGTGAGATCCATCTTATATGTTTATTGGTGAACATCAAAATCAGAATAAAATCAGGAATTTCTCCCTCCTCTTCAAATCTCATTTTGATTGACTGCATAACATTTATTGACCTTTTGTGATGATGAGTTGATCTGTCGAAGAGTTGTTTGTTTCTTGCTTAAAAATTGCCTTTGTGTTATGGATTCTGCTGTGATCTTCGTTTTAATGTGTGAGCATCTTTTGTGCAATACAAAGGAAATGATTGACTGATCGGGTTTTTTTACCTGCCTACTTCGTCTTTAAACATTTTGATACTTTTATGTATCTGTGTTGTTGATGTTATTCTGACAAGTGCACTATTTCTCTTTTCCTTATCTCAGTTAAATTATCTCTCACATTTTTCCCGACCTAATGTAACTTGTGTAGATGGAGATGCGAAGGGGTTACAATCAAAATCACACACTTTTTGTGTTCCTTTTTTCCTACCGAGTGCGTTTCTTCCAAATGTTCATGTCATCAGTGGTATTGCCGCAGTTTCCAATATTTTTATAAAGAGCTTTCTTATTTTCATGGATTACTCTTCCAACTGTTCTAAATTTTTTTTACATTCCTCTTTACAGAAACCCATTTACAGGTGTCTGTTTTTGAAATTGTTTTAAAGAAGGCTTAGTGGAAACCTGTTTTACGAGAGCCTTTTGATGAATGAATAGGCAGTCTTGTCAGACTGTTTTCAGTGACTCTATTCTTTAAATGTTCCTTATGTAATTCCCTCAACATTTCTAACTGTAATTTTAGAATATCTTATGGGTTCACACAATCTTACTGGCGTGTGTAGTGTACTGGTTTTACTCGTTGTTGTTGCTTGCAGATGATGTCGGTTTTATTTGCGAGTAGGGAAACTATTTTATTGAATATCTAACGCAATCTTATACGTACTGGGATGCTGTATCCCATTCAAACTGAGTTGCCCCTGACAGTGACAGGCAGGTTCTAGCCAGCCTGTGAAGATGGGGGCAAAAACATTAACTATCAAAGCTTTGCAATGCCTCTGTGTGCTGCACACTGAAGTTTGCTCAAGTGGGTGAGCATCTGTTTTTAACTTGTTACTAATTTAACAGCTAACATTTCTGTGTGGATGTGGTTGGATTAGAGGGCGCCCACTGGTAGGTCCTACTTCTTTTCTTTCTGTTTTGTTTGTTTACCGTACGTCTGTCTGTCTTGCTCTTTCCTAGCACTAGATGACTGTTATAGTGTCGAAGAGCTTCTCTTAACTCAAACCTAAAATCGATTTAAAGATGACTGATCACATTTGTAAAAGTATCAGTGATAATATACCGATATGTCGTTTATTTTATATTGTAGTAATCATGGACAAGTTCTACTCCAGTATTTTTTTAACTCTTTTTGCAAATAAGAAAATAAAATGATTGTTTTTTCATATCTTGACTACCTCACGCCTCACTTATCATTAATGTGTAGTTGCCTTGGTTTTGTGAAAGTGTGACTGTGTGTGTGTGTGTGTGTGTGTGTGTGTGTGTGTGTGTGTGTGTGTGTGTGAGAGAGAGAGAGAGAGAGAGAGAGAGTAATATAAGGTTGTTTGTTTGTTTTGTTGTTTTTTTTGGTAAGCGTTTTACTGCGTTAGCAACTGCTTAAGGTCATACATGTACATGTGTATGAGCGCTGGGAGCTCTGGGAGACCTTATGCATTTTCCGAAATCTACTCTTATCGATTTTAGGAACACAAAGGGATCTTGAACATGCACAACTTGCACATGGGACCTCCGAGATTTTTTCATCCTTATCAGAGAACGCTTGGTGACTTACTAAACTAAAATCAGGGGTGTGGCTGAATGACAACAATAAGAATTACATGTATAGGAGCCGAGGAGTAGCAGTAGAAATGCAGCAGAAGGAGTCAGTAGCCCAAAGGAGGGGTCAAAAGAGGAGGGGGGGGGGTAAAGAAGGCAGGAAGTGGAGACGAATATTACTATTAGTAAGATCATCCTCGACTCGTACGTTTGAGTGAGTGGAATCTTTTTAAAAATTAAAAAGAAAAAAAAATCCAGGAAAGCTAGTCTAGGATTCGTTAAACAGTGCTTTGAAAAAAAATTATATAATAGAACAATCTCTATAGAAACATCATTAAGTTTGGATACGGGGCTCCAGCGCTATAAGCCTGAACTGCGGGCAGCGTACTGGAATAGCGAGCTTGCATTATGTCCAACACTGGAATTATGTGCATTTCTGACGTAGGAATAGCGAGTGGATTGGGTTTTGTTGTTGTTTGTTTGTTTGTTTGTTTTTTGTTTGATTGTTTTGTTGGGGGGGGGGGGGTTGGGCGGGGGTCGTCTTTAAAAAAAAAAAATTAATGTTACGGTATTTCATTTAATTCCACTAAATGTACTTGGTATCGCCAAAAGACGGGAACTTACACATTGTAATTATTTTCATCGAAGTATCGAACGTCGGTCTTACACGTCTAGAAACTCCTAAAATTCTGCCGATGCTTGTGCAAGAATATTTGTCTTAAAACTAGTTATTTTACTTGTTTTGCTGTTGTCATCATAAGATATGTCAAAGCAAGGATTTGGCTGAAAAAAACCAACAACAAACAAACAAACAAATAAACAAACAAACCAAAAACAAACAGACTAAAAACTACTTTTTTGAACACGATTTCTCACTGCTGTTGATACCTTTTTTTGTTATTATACATGTGGTGAAAAGACTGTCAATGGTATTGAGCGACAAACACCCATGCTGGTTTTAAATTACCGCATCAATTGTGAGTTACTGTTTCAATTTATGCTTTACACTGAGTGCCTTAATTTGCCCCACTGTCAAGATCCATGGAGGAATACAGATCTGAAATAAAAAATGATATAAACTGATGAAGAGTTGGCGTCGATGACAGTAAAAACAAAATAATCATGTCTTAACTTAGGCGCTGCGCTACTGCTGGGTGTTCCGATGTTAGACAAACCATTGTTTGGTGAAAGATAGAGGTAAAATCACTCGTTATTCCCAAATCCTTCCGGGCTGCGCTGCTTAGAGAATAGTCATATCTCTGACTGCTTTTTTTGGTTTTTGGTAAGTATTTCACTGCTCTCGCAACTACATAGGGTCATATTATGAGCGCGCGAGATACACTAAACATTTTCAGTTTGGTAGGAATTTCGAATTTTGCCCAGATTGCGGCCGAAGCTTACTCTTAGGCCCATCGATTTTAGGACCATCGAGGGATCTTTAGTGTACTCAACTTGCACACGGGACTTCCGAGATTTTTCGCTCTTGTCCGAAAAGACTATATAGATGTTATATTTAACCTTTCATAAATCAGGAGTGTGGCTGAAAGACAGCAGTAAGGAGCCTAGGAGTAGCAGTTGAAAGGCTGCAGAAAGAGTCAGCAACCCAAGAGGTGAAAGGAGACAATCTGTAGAAGAATATTTTCCGGCGTTGTCAGGTTTCGAACCTGGGACTTATTGAATGAGATGGGGACACCGTAACCTCAAGACCACGAGAGCCCCCTCTTTGACTCTGACGGTGAGTGTTCCTTTTCACTGTTTAATTAAAATAGTGCCAAAACATCCTTTTGGACTCCAACAGCTCTTTCAAAACGCAAATAAAACCATTCGATTCCGGTACCGATCAGTGCCGCTAGTGCTTTGGTCATGAAGAAGTTGCTGTGTCGACGTTTCGAAATACATGTACCGAACTACATGTATATCATACTTGAAATGAAATATTGTTGTTGGCTGTAAAACCGTAAGTAAATTTATTGTTCTGTTTTGACTCTACCCCCCCCCTCTCTCTCTCTCTCTCTCTCTCTCTCTCTCTCTCTCTCTCTCTCTCTCTCTCTCTCTCTCTCTCTCTCTCTCTCTCTGTCTGTCTGTCTGTTTTGTTTTTGTTGCTGTTGTTGTTTTTAGGTTCCTTTGTTTGTTTAAATAAAACATTTCATTGGCATGACAACTAGACATTTATTGAAGCAAAAAAAGAACAAAAAGACCAACCCTTTTTTCCCTAATCCAAGCATTTGTCAAAAAAATCACAAAGCAGCCAAGAAGCGTATCCCCGTGACACCAAGACGACACAGCCCTACGTGTCTACATCAACAACGACAGGACGCCATCTTGGTGAGAGCTCTTCGAAAATGTTTGTCCATGAGGGTAAAAAGGAGGAAGTTCACCGTGGAGCTGATGGGTATGAAGAACAGAACGATGAACACAAGCACGTCAGGGAGGATCGTGAGGTACTGCTCTACCCCGAACACAGACAGGGACGTCATCTTACAGACGAAAAACACAGAGAATGTTGTGATCAAAATACGTAATCTTTTCATGTGGTTTTCCGAAATATTTGAAGTGTCTTGCGAATGAGCAGAAGGGTCAGAAGTCGTGAGAAGAATCCTTGACCTTACCATCTCTCTGTTCGCCGCGATGATACGTCGATGTTGCTGTATTAGTCTCGCTATTCGAAAGTAACAGACAAACGCCACCACATTCACCGCGAGGTAGATGAGAAATGTCACGTTGTATAAGTAACTCAAAGGCGTGTGAGAGAAGTTACAAGTCGCGTATATATCCTCTTTGGCGATGTAGACGATATAATTGACGCCAGTGAGGCTTACACCGAACATCCAGGCCCCAGAAATAACAAAAGTCGTTAGTTTCTTGTTTATTCTTTTCATGTAAACAAAAGGATGCACGAAGAAGATGTATCTGTCAAGTGCGATTAATGCCATGTGCACGGCAGAAACATCCGTCAAGCTCGAGCCGAACACCACAAGGAACCGATCAGAAAAGAAGTGCCAATCACCTGAAGGAGTCGAGGTCAAGATCAGGCAACTATAGATGACGTAGACTACACCCATGATGACGTCAGTGAAAGCGAGAGAAGCGACGAGGGCATTCCCTTGTGTCCGGATACTCGGAGTCTTCAGGACAAGCATTGCGAGGAGAAGGTTCTCGAGCACTACGATAATTCCTAGAGGTAGGGTTATTATTGCTGCTTTCTCTGGCACGTCAACATAGTTGCAATGTGGCTCCGTAGTGTTGTTGGTCATTTTCCTCTGTCGGGCTAATTGACCACACTACTCGTGTTTGATGGTCGTTCTCTCAAAGGGAAAATAAAACAAAAACAAACAAAAAAACAAAAACAAACTCGTCAACACCAAACACCAAAATTTTCCTTTTGTCAGGAAAATGCTGAAACAGCGGCCGTCGGATGCAAGATTTGACCTCTGCGCAAACCAGACTCACAGTCACAGTGGGCAGTTGGAGGATGACACCGACTTATTTAACTTTTTTCCTTCCCTCTGTTCCTGACTTTCTACCTGTCTGTCTTGTTGTTTCCATGCACTAAATAACCGTTAACGTTTCGATGTGCTTCTTTTTATGCACTGTATGATCGGTAACGTTTCGATGAGCTTCTTTCTACTCCAGACAGAAGATATAAACTGACACCCTTTCATCTGATGACTTCGTTTGCCACGACTAAAGTGTTTCCAACAGACGTAAGGGTTTCTGGAATAAACGGTTTTCTGTCATTCTAACAATGTCGTCATATATTTTTCCAAGTTTGTATCTGTAAAAACAATACTAAATCAAACACTTTTGTACGACAATACCAGGAATCTACGCTTGTGTTTCCGAGCACTCTGTCCCTCCCTACACAGTGGCTCTCACAGATTTACTGCAGAGATATCCTCTCCTATCCCACCGATTCTTCCCTTCCCTCCCAACCCCCCGGGTCCCTAAAAAGCCACAAACGGCATCACTCCACATCAGCTCAACACGAAGTTCCATCCACTCTTTGGATCGTATTATTAAATATGTAAACATCCAAAGCTATTAGGTCAATGAGGTGATAGGCTTAGTATTACAAGATCAATTTGACTGGTGCGATCTGTCTAGCGACAGATAATAGTAAATTGGGTAACATCGTGGTGAAATCAGGCTCTCGTAAAAAATAATGCAATTGAAGAAATTGTCAGTTTTCCGCCCGTTGGGCAGCTTTTGTCGGATTAATTATTTTTTATTATTATTATTTTTTTAATTTTTTTTTTTTTGGGGGGGGGGGGGAGGTTAAAAAAAGCGTTTCTTTCTGTGAAGATGAGGATTTTACTTTTTTAAAGTTGATCAATGTCAGGGGGAAAAATGCAAATTTGCAGTTTCCAAGTATACTAAAGCTTTGAAAGTCACCAAACCTTTGCGGCCATTTTCTCGCTTATTGTACTTCTAACATCAGGCAACCCCGACCTCTTTCAATCACAAATATCCCGACTTCTACTAAAGGTAGATAGGCATGTGTCAATTTAAAGCAAGACGAATGAACAGGATTTATACCCATAGCACCATATGCCCAAAAAATTACGAGCGCCTGATTCCATCGCGTGGTGACACAAATGCCATCACAGGGAACAAGATAAAGTCATTAGCAGGGGTCCCGTTTAGACATTTAGACCCGTTTAGCGAGATTTCCGCAGATTAGAGACTGGTCTCTGCAGCTCGTGACCAGTGCCATGCACGAAAACGTTAATGTGTTTACACGGGGGAAGAGGTTAATCGAGAAAAAATTAAAGGTTACAGTTCAGTCGATCCTGTCCAAGACAATCACTCATTGTCGAAGAAAAAGTGGTCGTGTTAGACGGATGGTCTTCTTGAAAGGTGTCGGTAAAAAAAAACACAAAAAAAACCCGCAAAGGGAGGAGTGAGAAGTGGTTGTTTGTACAGGTTGTTGTCTTGCACAGGTGGTCGTTAGAGCAGGTTCGAGTGTGCGCTTGTCCTTTTCCAAGGACTGTGCACGCTATCGACTATCAATTTCTACCGATTTTTCTCATTTCTCTCCATTTGTTCGGAGCTGGTTTGATTTTTACGGAGATGTACATTTAGTTGGGTGGAATTTCTGTACCGGTACTGTCTGGATCTCGGAGAAAATTATTCACAAAATCATCCATAACAGCTTGAGCGCTGAAAACTGAAAAGCTGCCGTCATTTTATTTTGGACCAAGTGATAATAATAATAATAATAATAATAATAATAATAATAATAATAATAGCCTGATGATGACAACAAGAACAACAATAACACCAACATAAAGATCTAAGACGACGACAACAACAACAACAACAACAACAACAACAACAACAACAACTGCAATGGCAACATCAACAAAATCAACAAGAGGAAGATTCACAATAATGATAACAATAACAATCATCATCATCATCATCATCATCATCATCATCATCATCATCATCATCATCATCAACAACAACAACAACAACAACAACAGCAGCAACAACTACAACCATAATAACAATCACAACCACAACCACAAAAGCGACCACAACGTCAACAGAAACAATACAACAATTTGACCCCCAAACATCAAAGACAACAACAGAAACTATAACAAGAGCAACCATAACAATCCCGATAACAACAGCAGCAGCAACAACAACAGCAGCAGCAACAGCAGCAACAACAATAACACCAGCACGGTTACCACAGCTAAAATACACAATAATTTTTTACCCCCAAAGCACGAAACGTGAACTGCTAAATGGTGGTTTTTAAACTCCAGGGGGCTATCCCGAAAATACTGTTTTGAGAAAATGGAGGGTAAAGTTTTTTTACCCTTGTTCAGTCTCTAAAAAAGACAAGGAGAGGTTTTTTTTCTATAATCAAGCAAATATACACATCAATGAAACCAAATTTCTCCAATAGGTAGGGCAATGCCCACTTTTGGTGTAGGTCAAGATTTGTGGAAACCTCCGAAATATGGGTTAGCCCGCTTGTCCCTAAAAGCGACCTTATTATCCCGGTGCAGAACTGCTCATGAAAGATGTATGGCTCAAATTAATTAATTATAGTGAGTAGTGACCAGTACCCACTACGCAGGTGGGAAATAACAGTTTTTTCGTAATCATGCTGGCCACATGATCATGCCAGGGTATGTGAACTGACCGCGTCTTCTGTTTGATCTTTGCATTGGATCATTAGGTGTGAGGGAAAGGGAGAAGGGAGTAGAAGAGGGAGGGGGGGGGGTACAAGCTGTGAGAATGGGCGGGAGGGAGTAGGTACTAGTAGGTAGATAAGTGTTTTTGAGTTGTAAAGGGACAGGGAGAAATAAAATAAATAAATAATGCTACATCGAGGTAAAATCAAGCGCTCGTCGAAATAATGAAACTCTTCGCCAGTTAGGATAATCTATATTGATTTTAAAAACATATTTCTGTGTGGATTTTACTGAAAAACGTTGAAAAAGGCACAATAAATGTATATTTGTAGTTTCCAAGGACACCCAGGCTTTGGAAGTAACCAGAATACATTGGCAGCCTTTTTCTCGTTAATATTACCTCTGACACCAGGCACTCCCACGTCCTTTCACTGCAAATATCTCGTCTTCTATTCAAGATATTTGATATTTTTTCGAGCAGACTAAGAAAACTGAACAAGCCTAAAGATGATATGATATTAAATATGACCAAAAGCTGATTAGCACCTAATAGACAGACAGACAGACAGACAGACAGACAGACAGACAGACAGACAGACAGACAGA